ATAAATCTGCATTCGAGAAACTGTAGAGAATCAAATTGTGGCATACGACGGTGCGTGTGAGTTACATTCTCTGCACTTAGCAACCGCCCTCTCTGTCTCTGCAAAGAGGAAAGAAGAAAGAGGTTCTACTGCTTTTTAGGTATTTCCTTTTATTCTTATTACCTGCATCACAATGATTGTTCTAATGTTCGCTCATTTATCGGTTGATTTGGTGTTGATTTTGAAGGGATGGGATCTGAAGAAGCATGCAGAACTACGGTGGCAGAATCAGTCAGATAGTGAACAGCGAAGGTTGCTACCAGTTGATATTCTCAAGTGTACAGATAGGACGGGATTGTCAACACTAGCAGCCTGGTGTATAGAAAGTTGAGAAGCAGAATAATTTCTGGTTTAGTTTAGCAGGGCTCAAAGATTTTGTCAAATAAAAACAAGTAAATCTCAGTCAGTTACCAACCGCATGCATACAAACTTAGTACCTTCAGAAGGGTTGTGATATGAGGGCCTGATTTTGCAAGTTGGTCATGAGCTACACCCAGAAAAAGCTGGTATAGATCCAAAACAAGATAGGCTTAGAAAAAGTTTGCTTTTAATATTTAGATAAGATAGTCTAGTTTTGATGCCTTAAGCTCATTCTTTAGCCCTTACGTATTGTAGTTTTCTTGCACATCAGTAGATGAATACAGGTTTAGAATTAGGTAAATCAGAATTTCTAGTTTGAGGCAATCCAGTTGAGTTATTAACTCATTCTTTAACATTCTGATATGACCTTCCAGTGATTCAACCATTACTGTATTTTCCGCATGTAAAACGATTGTTGTTTATTGTTATTATTATGGAAAGTAAACAGGAAGGAAAATAAACTGTGTATTCTAGAAGCAGAATGAAGTGTTGTTATGTACCAGAAAGAAGAAACCCTAGTTTCATCCAACATCATTGCCTCTGTGGTTTTCTTATTTTCAATACACCACCTTGTCCTTGGCCAAAATTTGTGTTGATCAAGGAAACAAAGAAAAACTGTATTAAACAGAAATGCAACATCCACTCGGAACATTTATATTATGAAATTCCTTTATTTCGTTCAATATTCGGTTAATTAGCTTAATTAGCTTAAGCAAAACAAAACCCAAAACCTGTATCTCTAGTCACATGGATTGCCTAAAAAGTTTGCGTTCTTCACGGGTCTTGTCTGAAGCATGTTATCCAGTTAGCTTCTGTTGCAACTACTGATGTCACGCATGCTATTAGCAAATTCTTCCTAGGACAAACACTAACGCGCCTTCTTCCTAGGACAAACACTAACGCGCCTTCAGATTAATGGTTGAGATTGCATCTTATATTAAGTATTAATATTAAAAAAATTATTAATTCACATTGGAAACATCTATACTTAAATGCAGTCATTGTATTTTAATTTCTATTTTGTTCAAAAAGACAACCCTTTTTAATTTCACATTGCTTCATCACTTCACTTGTCGTCGACAAGTGAACTTTGTTGCCCAGCTCATAATTCCCACCCCTCATTTTTTCACCATAAAAATACTCAGACTCTGAAAATTGGTAGCTCATGGGAAACTCAATTCAGAAGCTCAAGCTAATTGTGGCCATGGCTATAAGTAATCGTCATAAACTCCAAAGCTCACAATTTGGATGACCATGAATTTGAAGATTGCTATGGGTACATCACACAAGCGTACTGTTGGGCGGCCATGCCTCTGGGTAATCAGATAGATGAGAGTGAACAAAACCAAGCTTTTGAATTTCACCATCATACCATCGTCACTGAGTTAGAGAGAGAGAGAGAGAGAGAGAGAGAGAGAGAGATAAGGTAGTTAAAACAATCAGCCCAGAACGAAAGAGATACAAACTTTGATACAAACAATGTGGAAATGGCGGAGCTCAGTCCAGTGATAAAATATGCACTGGCTACTGCTGCTGCTACATAAGAATATCTAGCATTGTCGTACAAAAATAAGAAACAGCCCAATATTGTCCTGAATCCTAAAAAAAATAAGAAAAAGAAAAGTGAGGGTAAACAAAAACCCTATCCCTCCGCCTCAAATACTTCCATGGTTCTAACTACACTTAAATTGATAATGCACAATACTACTACACATTAGAGAGCTAACAGCAAAGCTAAAGAAGTTGATGCAGTCAAGTTCCAACTGAAGCCACCCCTACTGGAAACAAGTCTTCGTTATTATGTTGTGAAGAAGGTCCATAGCTTCTTTCCTATTGAGGCTTCACCAGGATGTTCAGACTCTTCATCGTCATCATCTTCTTCAATGGGAGTACCATTCTGGGATTCACTCCTGTACTCATCTCCATCAACAAACTCTTGACCCCCTTCTGTTGAACCATTCACCTCTTCACTAACTGCCGTATTCTCTTCCATATTTTTTATTGCATCTGCATCACCATCTTGAGTGTCTCCAAGAGTCCCACACTGAGCACAGAGGAAAAAAGAGAAAACACATCAGAAAAATATTTTGAAGAACCAGCTTTTGACTTCTTGAAAGATATAAAAACATGTGATGTGAGGACAGGTCAGCTCTTAACATGTTTTCTTAGACATACTGAACTTGTGTAGTAGAAATTGATTCTAATCCATAAAACAAATAGAAAGGCCTCATTCACACCCACACACACACACCCCTTCATCCTATCTAGTGAAATTTTAATGGGCTAGTGAAGATGCCTACACTCACCCGCACCAAGTGTGTGCTTCCACCATTCTCGCTACCAACTCCTATTGAAGTAGCAAGAGCAGCTTTAGAGTAGTGCTCAGTAGCTCTAGCATTATCGACCTCTTCCTCGTTATCTTTGACAAGGTCACGCGATGCACTTGCAGCAGCAACTGTAACTCCACTGATCACATAACGTGTAAACTTACAAGTTAGTTTCATGGAATGACCACCATAGAATGGCAACAGGATCATAAGTTTTATCCCTTTCATGATGCTAAAAAATAACTTTTACATCCATTATCTGATACAGTGCTCTAGAAATAATTCTTAATTGTGGTAGCTTTATTCCAACCTAAAACAAATGATATTTCAATTCAAGAAGCTGCAATGCATTCCAATGTTTTTACATGGTACTTAAGATATAACAATTTAAATACTTACATTTTGGGTCGCCGTAGATTGTATCGACTTTCCCCTGGAGCTTGCTCAGCTGGAAGAACTTTTTCTCGCCTCTTCTTGCGCTGGGCACCCATGACACTGTCAGAACGTCCTTCACTATCATCCCCACCACTCACAGTGATTTGAGATGTCTGAGCACGGCCACGCTTCCGTCCATTTCTAGCTGATCTTTTATCAGCAAGACTAGAACCACCATGGCTTTCAGTATGCATATCAACAGAATCCTCAGCAGTCCCATTTGCATACTCACTGTCATTTGTTTCGAAAGCCTCCCCAAGTATAGCCTTAGCATCTTTAACAACAGCTTTCACAGAGCGAGTTCTCTTAACTGCAGGCCTGCCTCTCCTGCCTCCTCTCCTACTTGGCTTTTGGACACCACCCTTCAAATCAGAAGGCTGAGAATCTTCTGGAAGATCAGGTGCCTCACTATTCATGTTGCTATGTTCATCGGGTGAAGGATATTGAACAGCTTCAACCTCTCTGATTCTGTTGTCGGATTGAACCCTCTGGACATCAAAAGAATCACTTGCAACTCCAAAAGATAGTTCAGCCTCATTTTCAATGCCACATCCTCTTTTGGATGCCTCTACATTTTGCTCACCAGAGAATGGTGCTTCATTTGCCAAATTTTGAGGAGAGCCAAACTCAATCTTTTTCCCTGGTGAGAGATTAAATATCTTTGAGGTGCATTTACGGAGCCAAGACATGGTACCACCAGAAACTGGAGATCTCGAATCAATACCAAGAGATATCTCATTATTTTGCCTCTGAGCCAGATTTTCATTGAAACCTCCCTTCAAATAGTCATCAGCCAGTCTTGATGGGGGAATGACCTCTGCGTTTTCAATTTCAGCTAAAGGTCGTAGATTAGAAAGCACAAACTCAGAGATCATTTCACCACAGTTTGTGCAACTCTTGAATTTCTCAATAAACAAAATAAAGGATTCTCTCTCCTTAATAAATTGTTCCCGTTGGTCTCTCAGTTTCTGGCTAAGGTCAAGAAGTTCATCAATGTCTTTTCTTATTTCAACGTGTTGCCTTTCAAGATGCTCCTTATTTGCATCAGCTTCTTGTCTTTCTTTTTCTATTTTAAGTCTTTCAACTTTAATTTCTTCCATTTCTCTTCTAGCTACCTCTCTCAAGTAATTAACATTGTCTAGTTCTCTTTCTCTTTCTTCCGAAAAAGACTTCTCTCTTTCACGCAAGGGTTTCTCCATCTCCTCCAACCTATTCTGCATATCAGTTTCAAGTTCTCTTTTCCGTGTTTCCAATTCATGAAGCATTTGGCTTCTCTCACTTTGAGCTTTCTCAGCTAATACTGACTTCTCATGCTCCATATGGGCTTCAAATGATTCCTTGGCCAATTTGAGATCATCTTGCTCCCTTTGTATGTAGTCCTGAGCCACCACCCTTTCACTTTTCAACCTTTCTTCTTCAACATGTTTCCATTTTTCTACTTCTTCCTTCTGTTCATTTACATTCTTCAGCTCTTTCTCAATCTCAGCTCTTTTGTCATCCAGCTCTTCCCACTCTCTCTCAAAAAGCTCCTTTTGCTGCTTCAAGTCTTCAGCTTCCTTCAGAAGCAGTTCTTTCTGTGGCATGTACTTCTCAATTTCCTGTTTTAACTCTGACTGCAGCCGGTGATACTCTGACCTCTCCTCTTCACTTACTTTCAGTCGATCCTTCTCCTCACTAATCTTCTGTAGCTGTTCTTCATTATTAGCCCTAATCGTCTCAACTTCAGCCAAAAGCCTAACCAAATCCTCTTTATCAGCAATTAGTTGTTTCTTCTCGCTTTCCAAGTCCTTCTCCTCAGTTTTAATGGACTTCTCCTTTTCCTTCAAGGATTTCATTTTTGATTCAAAGTCCTTCTCTTTTTCCCTGACCTTTTCCCCTTTCTTTTCCAATGCCTGCTCCCGTTTTGCAACTTTCTCCTCCATGTGATTGATTTCAGATTCCTTCTTCTCCACATCAACCAGCCTGTTTCTCAATTCATCATCCAAGGATTTTCTCTTTTGATCAATTTCCAACTCAAATTCGCATTTCTTTGCATCCAAAATGGCGTTGTGTTCATCAATAATCTTCTGGAGCTCAACCTGTGGGTCCCATGAAAAAGAAAAGATTCAGGAGCATGACAATGATAATAGAATGATGATTTCACTCTAGATACCAAGCCATTCTTTAACAAAATAAGGAGATCGGATCCACAAAGGGGGAAACAAACAGGAAATAGACTTTAAACAGATTGAATAAACGAAGAGTGTAAAGAAGAAATGAAAAGAAAGTTTATCTCCCCCACCCCAAAAAACAAAAAAAACCTCCCAGAAATAGAGTTTTAAACCTTCTTGAATACCAAATACATTGACACAGCTACTTTTGTGACCAAATTAAACCTACAT